CTCAAACATTGTATGATGTTTACAACAAAATGAATAAACTAAACTGTAATTCTAGAGCTTAGTTTGACTTAAATACAAAATCAAACAACTTTCTCTTTGTCAAATCTTGAAGTACTAATTTATGTTAAAAATCAAATTATGGAAATGTCATAAAAGGATTCTTTTTTTCACATATCATGCAGGGCTTTTTGTCCCACGAGCTGCATTTCCATTGAACATAGAACAGTTTCAAAAATTTTTTCAATTTGCTTAATGGAAACAGCAATTTCGACAAACTTTCTTCATCAAAAGGTTTTTCCACTGGGAAGAGGTGGTTTAAAATCAGTGTATTTTCCAAAACTATAATGGAAACAGTTTTTTTTTTATATCACATGAATCATGTGATTCACAATCAGATGTTACTTCTGGAAGAAACAACAAAGAAGATAAGCGAAAATGGTAGAAGGATGACGGCACAGCTTGTTTTTGATTAGTTATAGCATAAACAAACTTATTCATGTGTGATTTTGATTGAGATTCTTATTTAATGGAAACACCTCCACTACAAAATTGTGTTTTTTCCAACATTAGCAGACCATCAACAAAGTTTGTTCACATTTATGATGAAAATGAAGCTTCTTTAATGTTCTACTTTGGTGTGTCACTTGAGGCTGATTAGACATACGAAAACCAAAAGTTGGATTTGTCTAAATAGGTGCGACATAATACTACTTTTGCTGCTAGTGTAGTCAAGACCAGCACCTCACTCTCTCTAAAAAAAAATAAAAAATTAGAATATGATAAAGTGTTTCTAAAATTAACCCACAAATTTATGTATAATCATGAACAAAAATAAAACTCTGTTGACATCAAAATGCCCCCTCAATTGTTCAAAGTTAACACATTTGCTTACTTCCCTGAATACATTAACTACATTAGCTTACATTAGCTTGTGGACCTAGCTAAGTACTAAACAGCTGTCAAGAAATGGAAGTTAGTGCTCTAAAACATGCTGTATTTACTGGACACAAACAGCTAACTTAATATGTATAGCTAACATTGACGAAAGCTCTTTGTGTGAGAAAATGGTAAATATTTTTGATGCAGAGGGAGATTGCTAATGCTAGCTGGCTAGCTAGCATTGCAAATACACATAGCTTACTTTTCTTTGTTCTTCCTTTCTAAGTGGTGATAAAAGTTTGATGTCTGAAAGTGAGGCACTGTACGCTTTTGTGGATGCTTCTACAGATATATTATTTATGATTTATTTAGCTGAATCGTATTACAGAAGATTTATTTTGGTGATGTATCTTGGAGTCCAAGAGAACAGTAAAAATATTTTTGCGTATTTTATTTTTAGTATTTTATTTGATGACATCGCACACATTTTTTTCCCCATCCAGCGACTTTCCTGAGGTGTGCATGGCGGCCATCTTCTGTAAGCGGATAAGCAGCAGTTATTGTTCCCTAACCAAAGGATTCCCTCTGCATATCTACTCTAATCTCGTGTCCACATGTGATGAAGACAGGCAAGTCGGGTGATGAACCTCAAGGAGCTTTCCCCCCCCCCTGCAGCTGTAATCCAAGGTGACTCCATTCAGTCACTGATAAAAACACCACAAACCTGCTCATGTTACATGTTCCCTGCTTCCATTGTTTCCAAGTCTGGACCAATCTTGTTTTAACACTATATTTCTTGTGCCATGTTGGCTCATCTAAATCTCCAAGTTTTGATTTATAATGTGATGTATGCTCTTTCAGATGAGGAAACCATCTCTTAGATGAATGTGTATTGGAGAAATGCGAGCTGGAGTAGTGATATTTCACTAGTTGTTATGGCTCACTTAGTTATCAGAAGAGTGATGTTGGCTCATTTGTAACCATGCATTAAAGTCTAGTAGGTAATAGGGGAAATATGAAAAAAAAAAAACTATCTTTAAAAAACAATATTTTCAGTGTATTTAGTAGATAAATTTAATAAAAATGGCACAGGAAACTTCTCAAAATTAGGATGACCAAGCACTGGGAGGTAACGATCAAAGACGTGAAATTCACTAACAAAAACAAACCCGAATGCCTTTAATCATCCAGGCATGGCGGAGTTCAAACCAAGCATCAGAAATGGGGAAAAAAAACTGATTTCAGTGACTGAATGTGATTTTTGTTGATGGTGCAGGTCAACTGGTCTGAGTATTCAAGAATCAGCTTATCTACTGGGACTTTCATGCAAATAACCTTCTGTCAGATTTATAAAAATGGTTTGGTTTCAATAATCTTTTTGTATAAAAGTCCAAACAATTCTCAGTTTATTAAACAAGTCAGAATTTAGGTGACATGTGCACTGTAAATCCCACACTTAGTGGAGAAGTATTTATACCTTGTTGGCTTTTATCATAATTCTACATTACAGCCGCCAAGTTTGATATGTCTTATTTTGATTTTTTTATGTCACATACTAAGTCAAAGTGATGCATAAATATGAGGTGGAAGGAAAATGATGCTGTCTGAACTTGGTTTGTGTGGAGTTTTGGGTTTTTCCTGGGTTTGTATTTTTGATCAGTTGTTTGGCATCAGTTATTCCTTGTTTTCATTTTCCTAGTTGTGATTTAGATCAGCATTTGTTTCTGTTTTAATTCTTCTGATCAGTCTATTCTTAGTTATTCTTTATTTAGTTTTGTTTATTCCCCAATTTGTTTACACCTTCTTTCCCCTCTGTGCCATCTCTCTCTCTCTCAGCCTGCTAGCTGCTCGCTTTTCACAGCTGGACCCTGACTAATAAAAATCTGTCTGTTGTTCAAGCTCCCTGTATTTAACCTGCTCTCCTTCACTCACTCCTCACTGATTTCTTCCACTTGCCTCATGTTTCTTGGTCTCTGTTTGCTCCCTGTGTGTCCCTTTCTGTTTATTTTTTTATAAGTTGTTTTTAGGACTTTCTTATTAAAACATTATTTCATCATATCCTCCCAGGCATCTGCTTTCTCTTTGGTCCAATTAAGAGTTTATGTATTAAAACAGGTGGCATCTGAAAAGTCCAGACTCTATTTGTGGAAATTCAATTAGAAGGAGCTAAATATAAGTGTACAACACAGTTTTTACATTTTTATCTGACAAAATATGCTCTACTTTTTACTGATGTAGTGCAAAATCTCAACAAAATATACGGTTTGTTGTTGCAACATGAGAAAATGTGAAAATGTTCAAGGACTGAGACTAGTAAGGAAGTTGTCAGTTCAATTAGCTGAACTCCAAGCAGAAAGTCTCAGACAAACAGAAACTCAGTAAAAATCTCAGCAATCACAATCAGCTGTGAGTTTTACTGTTGTGAAAACAACAAGAGGGTGGTATGTCACAGCTGGTCATCTGCTCTTTTCACAGGATGGATGAACCTCGGTATCTGCTGACTTTAGATCTCACAGCTCTGTTTGCTGTGGGAGTTGTCATTTCCAGAATCACCACAAAGATTAGCGTTCAGTCTTTAAACTCAAACATTTTGGCTTTTGAATGAAAGCAACAAACCCACCCAGTTTTTCCACCTTGCTGCAAGAACCATGCCGGCGCATTACCTGATAATAGAGCCACTGGTCAAACTAAAATCTTTTATGCAGTCATTCTGAATGTAAATTAACGGTCTCCAGTCTGCTTGGCATTCATATTCAAATGGCATCAGAGTTCATTTCAACCAACCCGAGTTTGCAGATCCACCAGAGTTCACTTTTTTGGTCTGCATCAGTCTGATTGTGCATTCACACCTCCCCAAATGAACCAGACCTCCACAGGCAGATAAACTACAGTTTGATTAGAGTGGACTAAAAAGGACTGATGTAATAGAAATGATTGATGAATGTGCCAATTAACAAAGCCATGTGATCAAGAAAACAAACTCTGGTGTGCCTATAATTTGGTTTGGTTGAAGATTAGTGTTAAGTCTTAAAACTTAATGCTAAGTCGAGGTTTAAGACTACATACCAGAGTATTTGAACTCTGGTGAATGCCAAGTGGACTGGAGACTGTTTCAAAAGCAAGAAGTGGAATATAGGGCAGGGCATTCTGGGTAAGTACAACAAAAGCATGTTAGCCTATCGTTAGCATATGGCGTAAGAAATGGTTTGTGGTCTGTTATCAAAAACTAAAGAGAAATCCTTCAGGTGCTGAAATTTGACGCCACTCGACTTTTGTTGACAGAAAGTTGTGCTCAGTGTCTTCAGAGGTTTCTAAGGCTGTTTCCTTCAGTTGTTCTTGGTGCAGCGCCACCACAGGTGAGGGTTGGAAAAGCGTGCTGAAATGTTTGGTTTGACACAGTGCAGTGTGAAAGAGAACAGCAGCAGCTGAAAATGTAACAAATGTTGCAGTTGTGGTGCTCAGTCAAACCGAGTCGCACTGGAATAGGAGTCAAAACGCTGTAATAAGTGTATTGTGAACCGCTCCAGTGAACGCTGAAGGTCATGATCTGAGGAAGCTATCAGAACTGCATCGTGCACAAAAAACCACCTCCGCTTGAATGTTGTGATTCTACCCACAATTAATTTCACCTCCTTTTTGCTCTTTCTCCATGTTTACATAGTAAAAAATAAAAGCTGTGTATTTTTGTGATGTTGAGACGCAGAACTAAATGTCTGCACTTTAAAGATAAACCATATCAGGTCCTAAGTCTTTTTTTGTTGTTTGTTTGTTATTCTTTTATAAAATATTCTGCATCTGCAAAATTAGACCTAAAAGGACTCACCACCTCCAACTGATATGGGGGAAATAGGTTTGTGAATGCAGCCAGCGGGACCTCAAAGGTGTGGCGCGATAAGGCGGCCATGTTTAATCTCCACCTGAAGGACTTTCTTCCAAGAAGAAATGTGAATTTGGAGCAGGAGAAACACAGATAAGCTGCTTTTTTTTTTTCGAGCAGGAATAGGAGGAGGACCCCGGCAGGACCTTAATTGCGTCCCTCCCCTTTTCCTCCCTCCTCCTCCTCTTGTCTCCTCCGGGCTGCTGCCGAACTTCTCTCCACACCGACTCCACTTGTGTTCAGTTTGTGTTTGGACTGGATAGGAGAGAGGAGCGAAGAGAAGACATGGCTTTCCACCGAGGAGCGTTTCTGCTGTTTCTTCATATCTTCCTGCTGAACCGGAGCGGTGAGTTCAACCGCATTTTAACTCCTCTTTTTTTTTTTAAAAAAAAAAATATTATTACTGTTTCGTTTTATTTAAAGAAAAAAGTTGAAACCAGGCAACAGACGGCAAGTTTTACTGACAATGTAGCTGCTTTTTTGGATGCTCTTGACATTTCTATGCGTCGAGACCGTTCAATTATAGCTGCGTGCTAAATAACAAAAAAAAAAAAAAAAAGACAAAATCTCGCTTTGCACTTATAATTGCGAACGGCAATTATAAGTGCATCCAGCTGGTCCAGTTTGGTCTTGTTTAACTTTTTAGTTTAGTTTGAGAGCTGAACGTCGGGGCTTTGTAAAAACCCTGAAAGGTGTAATTAATTACTGCGTAATTGATGCTGCTCACTAGCACTGCCAGTCCTGGCTTCAGCCGATGAAAGCCAGTTTAAACACTCTGACATGTGATGGGTGTTTTTAAAGGCGTGTGACCTTGTGCTCTGAAGTCTGCAGAAGTTATTAAAGCTCTAATACTCCTTGCTTTGGACCTGTACAGAATCACTGTTCGTGGCCGCAGTGCTGTTTGGGTTTTTTCTAGCCAGTAAATGTGATGGAAAGCTTTGTTTTACACTCAGTATGGTCATAATGTTTGTTTCTGTTCATGTCTGTTATAATTCACTTGTCGTGGGAAGTAGTTGGAGGTGATTTTCCTTTTGTGAAAATCAAGCCGTTTCTGATTTTTGTTAACTCCAGAAACATTTCTTACTGAACGAGTCTGCAGTATTAACCCATAAATAATTAACACAGAGCTCCACATAGCCCAGTATCTGTGCATTTGGGTTGCTTTGTGTCAAGAAGTGTTGGAATCAATGGTATCAACCTTTCACAGATTAGTAAGAAGGAGTTAACTGTGATGAAAACCTAAAGAAAAAAGCACCAGCAGATAAAAGTAAGAGTTGTTTACCCTATCTTGACGTTTGTTGCATCAGGAAGTGCAGTGGAGATCGTCTCAGGGAACCATTGCTGGTGGCGTTGTCACAGCTTGGATCTGGGAATGACTTCAAACCAAGTTAACTGTGTTCCAGTTCCAAGTTCAAAACCAGTGGGGGGGTTAAAGGGGGGTCTCATTAAAATGCTCTGTGACCGGGCTTATGGGAACAGCCTCTTTCCAGACAGAAGCCGAATTTTTACTGTTCCCAGTTGGAAATACGACAAGAACAAAGACCAAGCAGATTCAGAAGCAGTCGCCATGCATGTGAAATCTGGTGAACGTTTCAACCAGAAACTGTTTGTTTGACCTTGTCACAGTTTATTTCTGATTAAGCTTGTGCTTCGTTGATAGGGTGTAAAAAAATTCCTCTAAAATCAGAATTCCAGCTCTAAAACAGATGGGGATGCTCAAACATTGATGAGTTCAAAATACAATATGGCTGTCATGTATATCAAACTAAAAATGGTCATTGATTGGCATTACTTTAAATTGGTTGTTGTCAAAGTTGGAATGAAATGCCTCAGGGTTGGACGATATGGCTGAAAAACATGTCACAATATAAGCATTTCATATTAGTCGCTATCAATAATTGTCTTTTGATAATAATTGATCATTTTTTTGCTTTTAAATACCTAAATTGCTACCAAACTGGTGGCATGGCCTTTCCTGTTTTATCCACAACTTTCACCTCACCGCATTGTTTTCTTAGTTTTAAGGAACGAATGAGAGATAATAGCAAAACCTGAAACTGCTGCTGTGCAAGTTACCCAGCAGGTTGTTGCTAGGTAACTGAAGTCAGGAGGTGTGGGGGAACTTGACACTATTTGTTACCCAGCAGGTTGTTGCTAGGTAACCAAAGAAAGATTGATGCCACCAAACCAACTTAGCTGGCCTTTCTTGTGAATCATAGTTCAGTGAATATTCTATATATTCCATCCATCCATCCATCCATCCATCCATCCATCCATCCATCCATCCATCCATCCATCCATCCATCCATCCATCCATCCATCCATCCATCCATCCATCCATCCATCCATCCATCCATCCATCCATCCATCCATCCATCCATCCATCCATCCATCCATCCATCCATCCATCCATGAATCCATCCATCCATGAATCCATCCATCCATGAATCCATCCATCCATCCATCCATCCATCCATCCATCCATCCATCCATCCATCCATCCATCCATCCATCCATCCATCCATCCATCCATCCATCCATCCATCCATCCATCCATCCATCCATCCATCCATCCATCCATCCATCCATCCATCCATCCATCCATCCATCCATCCATCCATCCATCCATCCATCCACATTTTCCATCTTATTTTCCATCTTACACAATTAACCCACATTCATTTTCCAATTTTCCATCTTACACAGTTAACCCCAGTGGGGTTGCCAGGCTGCAGGTGTCTATCTCCGGTGGTATTTTGTATGTATTGAGTATTGAATACTCTATCAGATGTATTGTCAGTTGATATTGATCACTTATCTGTTGCCATATACCCCTAACATGCCTCCATGGTGAGTACTATGAGGTGTATTCGGGACAATAAGCTCAGATATATTGTCAAGTAAATCCGAGATCATCCCACTTCCCCATGCTGGAAATTTTAGTTAACATTAACAACAAATAAAGTTACCTTTAAAATAAGTCACACCAATCACATCTAGATCCAACAGTAGACCCAGACTGCAATACAATAAATCTGGTTGTGTGTGTTGTTTCTGTCTCCTGCAACGTTAGCTTTAATTATACTTATTTTTTTTTTCTATCTAATCATAAGAAATCATAGTCAGAGAGAGAGATGAGACAGGAAGAGCAGGTTTCCTGGAAAAAGAGGAAGTAAGTTTCCAGCTTGCAGCTGTATAAAAATAGCTGAGACCAGTCCTTGTTTAAAAGCATAAAATCTAAACATTTTGAGTAATTAGATAAGATTTAAAGTAAAGTACTTATATTAATATTGGTTTACTTATAACAATACTTACTTACACTTGTGGAAAAACGTACAAGTAAAACAAGTAACTGTAACTTTGGTATCAAATAATAAAAGAGTAAAAAGTTATGGTTATCATAAAATTATAAATTAATGCTAAATTAAAGAAACTAAAAGGTTTACGAATGTGATTTTAACATTGAACTTGAAATGGTGTAAAACATGTAACTGCTATTAAGGATCACTGATGATGTGTTGGAGGTAGATAGTAGGTGAAAGGTTAGGGGTAAAATGGGGACAAACGGAAAAGCAGAGATGACCAACGCCTTATTAGGACATAGATTGTTGAACAACTTACACGTGTCAGAGACATGGGAGGAACGTTGAGCAACCCTGAGACATTAGCCAAGACATCAGGACAAAATGTCTCTAAGGCAAAGATGGATATGAGTTTATCTGTCCAAACAGCTACCCAATAAAGCAAGCACAGCCAATGAAAATGCACTGAAAGCGGGTATAAACCCTTTATAAGGGGAGAGCAAAAGAGGAATCTTTGGTTGGGTCCTCCAGGCAGCTTCGAGTCAAGACCGAGATGGACAAAGAACTCTGCAGCTGAAGAAGAGCCGGGGCCACAGAGCCGAAGACTGTCCTGCGCATGGGGACCAATCCGTCAGCCCCGCAACATGTGGCTTCAAATCGCACTTCTCTCATCGGCTGGGTTCAGACCCCAAAGACAAGATGAAGATGAAGACCAAGGAAAGGATGAAGATCAAGACAAAGATGAAGATCAAGGCAAAGACAAAGACCCAAGTTCTGTGTGACCTCACCATCGATGCAAAGATGACAGCTCATCAGACCAACAGAGATCTCTGCCTTCGTCAATCAACCTCCTCCGCCTGCTGCAACACTATCTTCATCATCGATCCAGTTCTGGGGTTCGAAACACCAAACTCTGTCCGTCTCTCTAAAAGGTTCCTTTTTTAGTTCTTAGCATCAGCGTTAGGGAAAGATAGGCTAGATGATTGATTTTAGCGGCAACGACAATATATGCACAATTTTGTGCCCAAACAAATGTTGATTGGAAAAACTACAAAGGCAAAATTACCAGGACCCAAAAGCAGTGTATTACTGGCTTCTGTTGCTAGTAATATTACAACAATTAACAAGTCCAAAAGCATGCTCAAATGATGGGATGTTATTCCCAGACTAAGCTGCAACATCTCCAAAAAGCACTGAAGCAATGTTTTCACTTAAGGAGGTGGTTCAGTGTAACATATGTGAAATACTTTGCAAGATAGAGATTCTCAGAAGTGTAGATAACTTTCTTCATTGACCACTGTTACACATGCAAGGTAGCCATATTGGATTTTAATGTTGGGGTCAGTTTGAAAATTTAGGTTTCCCAAATTGGGATCCTGATTTGTCAAACGTTTCTATGCGAGTGTGGGTAATATGGACTTAGAATGCTGTCATGATATTATGTGGTACTATTTTGACAATGATAAATATTGTGGAAAAATAAACTATTTATTACTACATTTTAAGGTAACTGCATGCCATTTATACAGTGCAATGCAGTGTACAAGTGTAAAGTGTAAAGGCTAAGTATGATTCTACTTCTGTGTAAAAATGGCGATATAAGTAGTGTTGGTCTCGATCTGAGCTGATGTTAAATGGTCAGTTTTTGTGTTTTCACCAGTGAAGAACCAGCAGCTTGATGTGAAAGTCCAGTTGTGATAATATGTGTCCATGTGCATGCTTGTACTCCTCCTGGTTCTGTGAAACCAGTCAGAATCTCTCTTTGTTAATGTTTTTTTCTTTTACAAACTCATGCCTCATTTCCTCTGATTGCTCCGGTTGTGCATTTTTGCCTAAACTCCCTTGGATTAGGCTGCAGCTCTCTGTATCTTTATTGGATCATTCTGTAGAACATTTTACGCCTTATTAATTCACAGATACTTTGAATAGACGTATAATCTGCCCAACTCTGTGCAGCTCAAGGTCCTGCATGCAGATGTGTTGCTTTGTCTGGAATACACTTGAGGTATGCGAGGCATTTGGTTAGTGACTTTTTAAACAGAGA